ATTCGAGAGTTAGGTATGCAAAGAATTCTTTCTGAGAGAATTCAAAGAATTTTTTCTTTCCACCCCTGATAGTATGCAAATTCAAGATTCCAGCAATCAACTTCAATGCTTAATACTATAGTGACCGCATCGACTGGCAACATTGTGAAGTTTCAGATCCATCTCTTACATTCCATCTAATGAGAAACTATTAGAAGCAGTATATCAAGAGAGTCTTACTACTTCTTCCATAGATTTTCTACTTCTCATGCAAGCCCAGATAGTTGAGAGGTATGTTAAAGTTGTCACGGAGTTTTCTTGACAAGTATGCGGAGCTAGAGCTTGGGACTGGGGAATCAGAGCAAAATTTTTAACAGATCTATCACGCCCACTTTCAAAACTAATTGTGGGATACGAAGTAAGCCTAAGAATACAGTGCCCAAACGTACGGAAGGATGAGTGAGAAGGGCGCGATTGGAACTCGCTAAGCAAACATTCCTCGTGGCGAGTTCTGAGTGGTTAACTGAACCAGCGAAGAGTTGCAATTTCATAAAATATGTCCTACGACAGTATCGTTAATTTAAATTTTAAAAAGTTAGATTTATCAAAAATTCTCCATTTTACTGTACCATTACAAAATTTCAAGGCTCTTGCGGGAAACAACGTAGAAAAATTTTGAAAAATTCGCAAATGATATATTTGTCAATGCGCAAGTTTTGTGGAGCAGTTCGTTTTATCTGACATTTTCGAAAATTTCGTAATTATGCCGTAACATTACAAAATTGAAAAATTTCAAAGCTCATGAAGGGTACGAAGATGAAGTAGAAAATTTTAAAAAATATTCACGAATAAAATATTAGTCAATTCACACCTTTTGTGAAGTATGGCATTTTCTTCAGACAACTTTTAAAAAATTTCGAGGTTTATCGCCCCACCCTACTGTATAAGAAATGTTAATTCGGGTGAATTCTCTTAAATTATTGATAACATATTTAAAATATATCAAAGATAATAGCCTAAAGTAGCTATAAGATACTTAATTTTTAATCAGATAGTAGATGCAATGCTACCTATCCTAAGTAAAGTTATACACATTAATTCCTAAAAGACAGTATGGTTATTAAAGAATAAGCTATCGTTTAGAAGTTTTAGTTGGGGGTTGAATGACTGGAATATTACCAGGTTTCAGTCATGGATATCAACTTAGTTAAACAACTTATTCATAGTTATTTCTATTAGAATAATTCATTCCATTTCAAACTGAATACCTGAAAATATGATGTTCCTTGAAAAAATGCTTGAAACAGAAGCACAGTTTTCAATAGCTACAGTGAGCGAATTGTTTCTTGGCACGGTTTTGTACGCTAAACACATTTCACTGTTTCACACTGGTTAACTTTCACTGTGAATTTGCAGGTCACTAGTGATCAACAGTCGTCATGGGCAGTGGTGTGCTTCGTTTTCATTTTAATTTAAAAAATCTAAATTTACAATACTGACTCCCGAAGTTGAACCATTGGCTACTAGGGTACAGCAGTCACTAGCAACATATGTAGTCCACTGTTAATCCATTGTTGCCTTCACAGACAAATTTTTTAAATATATTTGGTCAATAAATTTTAAAGTGTCGAAATCTATTGTTCGGCCATATATGAGTGATTTATTGTTTAACACGAAGTAATCCTCAACTTGTCTCCAATAACCAGCATCTCCAACGAGCACTGTCATCAGTGTTGTTTAATACTGATACCATCAGCACAGGTGTGTTCAAATTATTAATACAATCTTGGCGGATACTGTTGGGCATCGATTAAATTTTAGATTAAAATATTTATTAACTGACAGTTACCGTTAAGCTGTACCTCACCTGTGATCACTCATAACACGGGTACTGGTGTATTCTTCTTTAATTTTATCTTAAAACGTTGCCTAAATCTATTGCAATGCTCTACACTTATTATAGATGAATTAACTACCACTGATGGACAATTTATAGGTCAATGTAGACCAACATTATTCAAAGACACGAGTTTACTATGATTTAATATTAATTCAGTAATGTACATAAATTAATTGCAATGCAAATGCGGTTATCATTGTTTGATCAATAATGACTGCTAGTCCGAAAGACAACGACGATAAAATGCGCCATCAATTTTGATGCGTAATGGTGGCTTTCAGCTAAATTTTATTTTAGAAAATGAGTGTGAAATCCATACATCTAGTAATAAACTAAAATTCTCTTTTAATCTTATTAGATTGGATTCTGGAACAACACACGAGGGTTACTTGTCTAGAAAAAGGATCTTTCGTTCAGGCTACTGAGGAAAATTTGCTCGCATTCATATCAGACAAGGAAAAACCAGGAAAACTAACACGCAGCTAATCCATTCCCAGGAATTTTAGTTCCAGTAAATCTTCCCATCTTCAGCTGTCTTATCTGAAATTAATCTAAATTTATTACACTGCTCTATTGTGTTGATCACCAACGATGATCAACCTTTAGCTCACTCAGCCTTGGCCAGCACATTGGGCTGTTACATTAAGATCCTCTGCCATAAAATTTGGACAACTGCCTGTATATACCATCCACTCTCCAAGTGCGGTTACTGCGCGAAACTGAAGGTTTTTCTTTAAACTTATCTTCAAAGTTAAGACACAATAACACGCCGAATAAATACTAATTCAGAAGTCAAACAACAAAAATCAGCGTTATACCTACAAAATTTTCACAGGACTAGTTTCGATGGTTTTACCGAACCATCATCTTCAGCTGCAAGACCGCAAATGAACAAGATAGGAAATAATGATTAGATAAGATAAGAAAGCCTGGACAAGAATAAGCAAGTGGCGCCATCTGTTGGCGAAACCAGAACTAAAACATAATTTCTCTAAAAGCCGAAGGCAAATTTGGATTGGAATTAGGATCGTTAACTAGAACAGAAAGATTTTTATGAATGTGAAATGCCTCTAGAAAATCCAGTTCTCCAATGGAAGATGCTTTTTGAATAATTTTGGCAGCAGAAAAATTGAAAGTGTGATTTTCGGACCAACAATGTTGAGCAACAGAAGACCTAACATGTTAGAAAAAAGGAAACACAGAGGTCTTCTGTTGCTCAACATTGTTGGTCCGAAAATCACACTTTCAATTTTTCTGCTGCCAAAATTATTCAAAAAGCATCTTCCATTGGAGAACTGGATTTTCTAGAGGCATTTCACATTCATAAAAATCTTTCTGTTCTAGTTAACGATCCTAATTCCAATCCAAATTTGCCTTCGGCTTTTTTAGAGAAATTATGTTTTAGTTCTGGTTTCGCCAACAGATGGCGCCACTTGCTTATTCTTGTCCAGGCTTTCTTATCTTATCTAATCATTATTTCCTATCTTGTTCATTTGCGGTCTTGCAGCTGAAGATGATGGTTCGGTAAAACCATCGAAACTAGTCCTGTGAAAATTTTGTAGGTATAACGCTGATTTTTGTTGTTTGACTTCTGAATTATTATCTTCAAAGTGTTAAGCATGTCTCATAAGCAGTTCTCAGAGACTTGATATTCAGAAAATGCAAAATCCTTAACTTGTCTTTCAGATTCACTCAGTCTGTAATATCAAACCACAATGAGTGATCATTGTCCTGTTGCAGTGTTGTTTCGAAAAACCACGGTGAAATATGCAGTTCACTCCATCGTTCCAAACAGGCGGCATACTTGCCCACCTCCTGTTCACTCTCCTCTTTCACTGCAAGCTTTTCCCGCCTCAGTGCTTCTTTGTAACCACACGTAACAGAAAATGTTTTGACGTCACTGTTTGTAACGCTACAATAATAAACAATAAAAAACAATAAAGCAATTCTTAAAGCTTCATTTTGCCTTTAATGAAAATTCTAACTTATATAAATTAATAAATAATATATATAATTGTAATAAATAATAATATTAATAAAAAATTACGTTTCTGATACAGAATTATTTGGGTCAAATTATTTTACTTACTGCGCAAATCAGTGTTTAGCATTAAGATGACTTCCTCATGTATAAACAAACTAAAATTCGCAAGGCCATCTTGTCTATACTTTATCCAAAAAATTTTTGTCTTCCTTTATTTAGCGTAACAGCAACCCACTTAATTTCGATTAGCTATTTTTTGAAAATTTCTCATGTGCTTGTCCAAACAGTGTTGTAATACTAGTATAGTATGTTTCCTTCCCGGTACATATGATTCTTTTTCGATTACTATTTTTGGGCAAACATTTTTTCCTGTTCTGAAAGCACATTAAATTATGCTTAAGTTTTATTTTTCCTAGATAAATAATATCAGTAAAATTCAGAAGGAATAAGACTCATCATTCACCGAGAGGATAAGATTGCTGAATACTGGCTGTTCAGCATCGACTCCAATCCCGGTGGGCATGCTTGCTGAGATCACTTTTGTGTTTTTCACATGTGTAAAATAAATACAAAATCTCTAGAGAAAGACGTTCATAAAGGCATTATTTTTCCTAGAAATATAGCTCTCGTGGATTTTCTAGTAACTGTTTAATCAATTAACATATTAGCATTTTATACAGTTTGTTGCCTCATGATATACTCATTTTGCGTTTATTCAATAATGATATTAATTTTTTTCTGAAAAGTTATCAGATTTTGCACCACCATTGTTAGTATTAACTGACAGTCTTTATTGCTCATTGCAGTAAAAGAATTTATTTGCAATATGTTTTAAGTTTTATGAAACTTATTTAATATGCACATTAATTACATAAAGCAGATATTTCTGGAACTGAAAGCTTGGTAATATTTTTCATGATAAAATAAAAATGCGAAGATATTTAAAAAATAAAAATGAACAATTATTAATCATATTTTATTTTTAAGAACCTAATCTCATGTACGTATGTACTTTTGTGGATCTCTTTATCTCTTTTCGAAGCAAAATGCAAATTATTGTGTTTGCAGAAAATTGCTAAACCGAAACGAGCAAGAATACTCCAAAATTGCGACATTAAGTAATGACGTAATATTTTGATTTGCCAGATCTCTTTAATATTAACGCTTTAAAATATCACAGTCTAACCCTTTTCTACCGAATGAATTTTAATTTTTATCGTTCAGATGGTTTGCTCCTTTTAACCACAGCTACATTTTTATCATGAGAAACGTCAGCAATTACGGTACTTCTAGTTCGGTAAGTGCAATGATAATTTGAAGATTAATTCATTTGAAAAATAGGTGTGTGTATTTTTTTTTTTTTACAAATGTTTTGTTTAAATGGCTTCCGCTAAGATATCGTCGAATGTGTGCTCAGTGTAATTTATTAATGAAAATTTATCCCCAGATTTCTATGTTTCCTTTTGAAAAATATTTGATAAAAAGACAAACCGGAATTGTATTCGCTGATAAGAAAAATTCTTTTTTGTTAATGCAATCTGCTTAGCTATAAAAAAATCAATAATCAACATATTTCCTTTAGAATAGCCAATGCTTAATATTTATAATTTCTGGTAATCCAAATAACTGACAGGTAATAGCAAATTTTGCAAAGCGAAGCGCCTTATAAGAATTTTTTTTTAATTTTGCTTTAACTATATGCAATTTTTAGTGTTAAAAAAAAGCACTTTTTGAGATTATCAACAATTTCTTATTAGTTACCGACTAGCTCAGATCTGTAAGCTAAAGTTTTAAAAATACTTAATCTTTGATGTGCTCATGCATCAGATTTCAGTATGATAAACTAATACTGCCACTTGTATAAGACTACATGCATGTTTCTGGCATATCTATTTGTTGTACATCGAAAGACGGGAGATATGCGTATCAGGCATAGCATAAACCAGAACTTTATTTACCCTGTTTAGATTATTTGCATGTATAACATTCTGATACAAAAGTGAGAATTTCTTGATTGTCTGAAATACATAATATATCACTTCTATTTTTTGTCTGTAATGACACCAAATGGTTGAAGCATACAGCACTGGACGTTGCTCCAAGTTCGGTTCCTGACGGCTACATAACATTTCCGTGATTTTTGTTAAGCATATATAACGTTGTTTTCTTAGAATATTCCCCAAAGTGTTAAGGTACCAATTATCATAGGCAGATATCTTTTGTTTGGTTTGTTATTTCCAAATATTAAAATTTCTTCTAGAATGCATACAGCACTGAGTCCCCGCCAACATAACAAATTACTCTTCTCGTACAACCTAAAGGATTAAAATAAGCCGCTTAAATTTATACAATGCCATGCAGAAGTATCCAATGTTTTTCATATCTCTATCATGGCAGGATGCAAAGCTTTTTGCGTAAAGCAATTCATTGTAGAAAAAAGTATTTAATCGAGCTTCCGAAGCTGATTTCAGGAGATATAATACTAAGCTGAGTGTTCGTAAGTCTAATTCAGTGTTATAAATATGTTTTCTAAACAACTTTACAGCTATGGATAATGCGTACTTAATCAAAATCTGACTTGCTTAAAAACTTAGACTCGAGGCCCGTGCAAAGGCATGTGCAACCGGCAACATGATTGTTGGAATTTAGGCAATAATCGGGGTGCGGAATTTTGGAATCGCGGCATTTGCACTGAGTGGAAAAAAAGTCTAATGCCGGCCTTTCAGGCTCTTGGTTTATTATTCCAAAAGCGGAATGAGTCTGTATCAAAAACTATCCGTGTTTCTATGTAAATTCCAAGATCCCAAAATAAAGTCTACATTCCATTGTATGCATTAGACCAGCGGTTGTACGCGTACTACTGGTGGTACACAAGATAAAAATAAGTGGAACAAAGTATTTTTAATTATTAAGTTCAAAAGTTTCGTGAAGAAAAAACAGTTGATAGAAATTTCCTGCGATCGGACACGAGCTGAAGATTTTAAAATTAACACACTGGTTTACTTTTGGCTGAACGGAAAAAAGGATTTAAAGGCATCTCAAATAAAGCTAGTAAATTTTTATTCCTTTTTTGCACAACGTATTTGTATGAGCAAGGATTTTCTTCCTGTTATATTTGAAAAATAAACATGGAGCAAAATTAAAAGTGCATTCTAATTTACGGTTAAGACTAGGTGAAATAAGGCCAGACATACAGGAATTGATCTTTCATAAACGGACCCAAAATTCACACTACATTTTAGAATTTAAGTATTATAACTTGAATTTTGATAATTAAAATGGTAACCGGTTTTTAATCTAACACTTTTTATGTGAGTATATTTAACACAAATAGCTAATAAGTTGTTTAAATGGCAAAATATGTTTTTTACATATTGAGAATTTGAAAAATAATCAATTGTAAAATGTAGTGCAAGGTGTAAAACTAGTACATTGTAAAATGTACTAAAGATTTTCAGTTTCTGTTTAGATGATATGCGATTTCAAAATGTTGAGAACCGCTGCATTAGAGCATTTAGAAAACTAGCAATGTTTTTATTCATTAATGTTTAGAACATATTTAACCCTTTTTTCTGTATTAAATAAGGAAAATAAGGAATATATAATATAAAATAAGGAGAAATGTTCAGCAATAATTACATCTTAATCCTGGAAAGTCACATTTTTATAAACTGTGACACGATATTCCAATGTTTAGTCATATATAAATTTAAAACTTCCCTCCATTTTGAAATTATAATTGATTCATTTCGAAATTTATATAGTACAGGACATAGATTAAGTAAGTAATGCGTAGAAAATGTGCGATAAACTACTGCTCGTATCGCTCCATTAAAGAAGTCTCTAGTCCCATAATTGGGTTATTGGAACATGGCAAAAACACAAAGGCTATCTGCATGAGAAGAGGGATGCCTTTGTGAAGGATTCTGAGGGACACTGACTCGTAACCTCGTTACTCAAGGAGAAATCCACGAAACCTAACCATGCAGTCCACCCGCCACCTGGGTTTGAATCAAGTTCAGCTCCAACTAGCAGTATTCAACGATTTTAATGACTCGGTCACTGGTGGAGATTTATCTTATGGTAAAGAAATGTAAATGATAAGCATTTGTGTCTATATAGGGAGAAAGTTTGGAAGTTAGTTAGCTCTGATGGCATAAAAGTTAATGATAGTATAAAAGAACTACATCTCAAATGCTTGAAATTATTTATGAAAATTATTGATAAAAGATTGGTTTTTAATTTTGGTAAAACTAAAAAATTAAGTAACTGCATATGAAGTAATCAAGTCGTAAGTAAATTTTATAAACTGTACTATTCTTTTCTTATATGGAAATATCTGTGAAATAGTACTCATAGCACAGAGTGAAAATATTCAGTTTATGAAAATCAAGGTTATTCTATAGAAAATAAACACATGAAAAAAATTCGGTACGTTTTTTTCCTTGTAAAATAAAAGTAGGCACAATCTTAAATTAACGGACATTCATGCCATACGAGTATGAAAGTTATAAAATAGCAGCGTGAAGTAGTTCAAATGGTTTTTCAAAGAAAAACATTTTTTTTTTTTCCGAACGGCGGACACTATTTTGTCATTTTTCGACATTGGCCTCTACTAAGCCCGGAAGTGGTGGCCATTTTATTGTGAAAGCACCAAACCAGGTGACCACCGCTACCTCCTATGAAGATAAGTAATTATTGCCCATTGATGTAATCTTTCATTTCTGTTATATGCTCGCACAGATAATTTCCATATTTGATGGAAAGTTCCTTCTAAGATATTTATCGTTTATTTTAATATTCCACTCTTTTATAGTATCTTTTCCATTACAGAATACTGGCCAAACAAAGTGAACTCATTTCTGTAGAAAGATATGTAACCCTTATTAATAACTTCCAGGCGGATTTTCGCCACTATTTCATTTCGAAAGTGGTAAAATGTTTCGAAACAGGAAAAATAATTTAGAAAAATAGTTTCTCACTTTAAAACCTTATTGACGAACTTTCAAAATAAGAATACTGACTTCTTTCTTTACGCCAAAAGATGGGCGTTGCCGATAAACTGGGGCGTTAGTATATTGAGCCAAAATCCCCACTGTTTGTATGTGTAACACAATGCCTAAGATGTCCATGCTTTGAACAGAATATTTGTCGAGTACATACATACTCCAACTTTCGAAAGTAGAGTAGGTGACTGATACATGTAAAAAAAAAAACAACTCAATGTTGGCCAGAGGCAACGTTGGAGCATATATATATTTCTGGAACAAAATGTTTGGCGCATATCTAACGGAACAGTTCTTTTTTATGCTGCGAGCATTTTATAGAATGCATACGTATTGAATAATTAGCTTGATTATATTTATAAAATGTTTATAATTTATGTTAGCATGTAAAGCACGATCTTGAAATGGAATAGTTGCTGTTATGACTGTGAAATCAGTAATCATTTCTAAAAAAAATTATTCTGATTAATATAAAAGGGCAAAAATACTGAATTAAGATTCTTTGAATTATATAGATATATTTTAGATTATCGCGACGTTGCTTCTGAAGAATGCAAGCAATAATATTTCTTAGAAGTAAGCAATAAAATGTCCCTGATTTCAATCCGTATTTGACGATAGTGAATGTGTAAAAGTATACTTTAGGACAGCTAAACTCCCAAAACTAATCATGGCCAAAGATTTTGCTTTGATAAGTCTTTGTATACAAACAAATTTTTGACTTATCGCAGAAGTTAACATTAATCTCTTTATTTAACATATTAAGTTATAAATTTGAGTAGTACGTTACGGTTTGTAGAATGAAGTGAACTGTGCCCGATAATGATTTAACTGCCGAATGTGGGTGAAGTTTAATAAAGCATTGCCGGTATTAAATTCACTGCACTTGGTGATGTACATTTATTTTTCCCTTTATCTCGGGTATGAGAATGCCAAGTAATTTTTGAAATTTAACTTAACCCTCGAATATTTAATAACGCAGAGAAAAACTATAGATCTAAACTGGTTGCAACGCGCAAAACTTTGAAAAAAAATTGAACAACTTGAAGTTTGATTTGGAGAAGGCAAAGCACTCGAGAGCTTTCTTACTAAGCAGAGGGATGCCTTCGTGGAGAATTTTCTAAGGGAAACTGGCTTGTATGCACGTTACCCATGATGAACATCACGAAAACACCCAAGCAGCGAGCCTGTTCTCGGGATTCGAACCTCGAACCGAATTACCAGTGCTCAGCGACATTACCGCTCGGGCGCTGATAGACTTGAACAATTTAAAAAATCGCGAAATCGTGTTTTGCATTGGAACATACAGTAAGTAATTAAACTACATACAACTCGATCAAAATAATAAATATCGTAACTCTATCAATGGCATTCGGACACTGCAGCAAAAAATTATATATTATTTCAAATATGAAAAGCTAGTAATATTGTATATTTCAGTAATGAAATATATTTAATATTCTTAATTGTATATTTCAGTAAAACTGAAAAGATTTCAGTAATACTTTAGATTGAAGCTATTATTTATTATGAATCGGAAAGAAGATTTGAAAGCTGCAGAACGGAATATCTAGTTATAACAAAAGTGAAATCTAAATCAAAGGTGTTTAATGTCAATCTATGGGAAATACAATTTCGAAGTAGGTGGTCAAACTTTACAACTTCTCACATGAGGAAAATATTGAGCTAAGAAAATTAATTAACCGGGTATGAAGCAATAAAATTTAAATTTTACAGTTCTGAAAATGCTTCTGTATGACTAATTATCTATAAACTGAAACGTTACAAAACCAAACTTCAAATGAAAATATCCTAACGTAAAGAAACTTAAAGATATAGATAAATCATTAAAATAAGTAATACTTTAATTTAAAAACTGTTAACATTTTTAACTCCTTATGGTTATACAGAAAGCTCGATAAAAACAGAGTTTAATTTAGAGACCCAACAGCGGCCGAGCTGTAGTCTCTGAACAGTGGTAGTTCGATCCGAGGTTCAAATCCCGCGAACGGGCTGGCTGTATGGGCGTTTTCCTGATTTTCTTCATGTGAAAGTTCTCCACGAAGGTATCCCTCCCTTCCGTGTAGTGCTTTAGAGCAAAACACGTAAATAACAATGATTTCAATCTAGAAATCTTTATTCCTGATAAAATACTGTGATGAATTTATGTACAGGTTTAGATGCTGGAAAAGGTAGTACAAAACTTGCTGATCGCGAAGTATAAATTTGCGTATTTAGACATTTTAAAAGGAAAATTCTCGATTTCTATGCTCAAAAATTTCAACTTAGTGTCTGATACCAGTTTTCAGCAGGAGAGTGAAACATTGCTCGTGTGTACAATTTATCATTATTAGACAATGGCACTGGTGTCAAAATCTTTCGCAAAATCCATATGGTAATTAAATAAACTTACAGAATTGCGTTTCAACAACAATTAAGAGCCATTGTTAAGCGCAGTAAAAGATAAGCTTATAAGCTTGAAGAAGCATTTGGAAGTAGTTTGCGTTGATTCAAATTCAAAGATTTGTCTGAAAGTTAAATTACCGTATATTTCGGCGTATAACTCGCTGCTACAATTTCAAACTATATTTGTTAATTTTCAGGTATATTCCTCATACAAAGCGCGGGCCCACCAGCGGCCGAGCGGTAAAGTCGCTGAACACTGGTAGCGGTCCGAGGTTCAAATCCCGCGAACGGGCCGGCTGCATGGGTGTTTTCGTGGTTTTCCCCATGTGTAACGTGTATACGAGCCAGTTTCCCTTAGAAAGTCCTCCACGAAGGCATCCCTTCCCGTAGGTAGATAGCCCTCGAGGCTTTGCCATAATCGCACATGCACATACAAAGCGTGTCGTTTCCTTTAAGAAGAAACTTGTATACATGTGCGATGCACTGATCTTTTGAAATCATTCAGTCGATAAGTTTTCCTAGACTTTCGAAAATGGTATACTGAATTGAGAAGCGATAAGCGTAACAATGTCTAGGGAAAAAGGCTTGAAGAAGTAAATAGTTCTTCAAAGAGTATAAAGATGTACACAAGATTGTTATTCAAGGATTTTGAGAAAAAGGGGGACATAATTTGGGGTAACAATGACCTACAGATTCGGATGAAGTCGCGGAATTAGGAGTATGTTTTCTCTGAATGAGTAAAAGCATAATATTTAATATGCCACGTAACTTAAATTATCCAGTATCTAAAGATGTAAGTTCATGAGATGTCATTTCTTTTAAATAAACGGCATTTAGTTGCATGTAGAAATCGAATTTCTGTATGCTCTTTTCCTTATTTTCAAATGAATCGGTTTTAAATCTGACATATGACGCGCAGTGATAAATTTCGATCTTAATTTCTGTATTAAAAGGGCGCGTTACACACCGGAATACAAGGTACTTTCTTAGAGACTGAAAGGTGTCATAAAGGATGGCTGAAAATCAAATTGTTAATTCATTTTACAAGATATCTGAATAAGTTTTTGACTTATTTCAGTCAAACATTGTTGACATTGTTGCTCAACATTGTTGGTCCGAAAAGCCGGATTTATTTCAGAATGAATTTATTTTGAAATAAATCCGGCTTTAGATTAAAATTTAATTCCTGAGCTGATGAAGAATTTCGTACAGTAATGCCTGTTTTAACTTTTTAACCTAGAGACATTTCTTTGGATTCATATTATTGAAATAACTCTTAATTTTCAATGAGCTTGGGGCCCGAAAACTTTAATCGGCAAATACATTTGAGCTTGCGCTCGGGGTATGTTTAATCGAACTGCTCTCTCTTGACTAGTGTTCTGCAACTTATGACACGTTTATTTTTAACTTTCGAATTAAAATTATGTTACTGATAAATGAATGCTCATGTGCCTAAAGGTGAGCGGCGAGGTGAATTAAATATTTCTCCTACTTTTGTAGGATCCGAGGCAGCAGAATGAAGAATACAGAAGATTCAGAGAAAGAAATTGGAGACTGGAATTGTGTCGTTATCCTGCGATAGGCGTTATTGCCGCCTCGGTAATAATCTGCTTGCTGGGTGTTCTTGGATTAGAGAGAGACCGCGTGCCATTAGTTGTGTTAATCATTTGTTTCTCCATTGGAATTGCAGGGATTGTGATATGCTGCTATTGCATTTGCACGGTAAGATGAAAAATTTTAAATTACTGTAATTTCTGCTGAACAAAAATTTCAATATGCATAAAATAATTTCCAAATTTCATAAGATTTGCTTTACAGTTTTGGTGACTCAAGTTAAAAGTATTTCTTGTATAATTTTAACAAGCGAAATTCTTCCCTTCTTTGAATTTTTACAGTTAAATAAAAGTTGCTTTTAAAACTAAAAAATTAGCGGAATAATCTTTAGCTATCCCCCTTTATTAATTAAAAAGCAGTCTAAAATTGTTTATTTGACATAATTTTCTTATTTCTGAAAACTGTTTTTCTGAAGAAAAGAAATATTTTTATTTTTAGTTTGTGATAAATCATGCTTGATATAAATTTCTACTAATCGACGTCGGATAAGATCTTCAGCTTCGATTATGCCATAGTGCTTTGCTAAATATCTTTAACTATGTCGATCATTTTGTATGGCCTTATTAACCCTTTGTAGTCAATGTTGCTTAGTAATAACCCTTTGTAGTAAATCTTACTATGACTAAGACATGTCAAAGTCAAACAAGTTTTTGTTAATCTATATAGATTTCAAACCTTATCCCGTTTTCGTACAGTCTGTATTTAAAATAAAATCTATGACAGCTTGTTAAACACTGTAGAAACTTAGACTGTAAATTTTCTTCAAATGTAAGTTTTTCAACACTTTCTTCATAGCATTTTGTTCTCGTAAAAAAGTACCGAAACAAACAGAGCTTTTATTATACAATAATTTTGATTCTGAATTTCAGTTTTATTCAATAGTAAATATTAAATTTTATAAATTGGCAAAAGCAGATATCATTTTAAACTTTCGCCTCTATAAGTATGCATATGTATGTACAACTAAGTTTCCAAAGACACCCGAAAATTCGTTTTAAGTTTATGTGATTATGGCAAAGCCTCGAAGGCTCTCTGTCTAAGAGGAGGGATGCCTTCGTGGAAGACGTTCTAAGGGAATCTAGCTCATATACACATTACACGTGGGCAAAACGATGAAAAGTCCATACAGATAGCCTGGTTCGCGGGATTCGAATCTGACCAAATTACCAGTGTTCAGCGACTTTACCTTACCGCTCGGCCGGTCGTGGATGACGACTTGTTTCCACATTCTAGAGAACTTTATGGAGCGTCTGACTAAACGTTTAATTTTTAGACAATATATTGTAAGAAGTAAGAATACTTGATTCCGGGGTTAGAGGTAATTAATGAGCACATATGTATTTGCATCCATGTCGCAAGTAACATGTGGCATCATATTCAGAAATGAAGGGATTAAGAAAAATCTAAATTTGTATGTTTTAATATTTTCATATTATTGAATAGTAAAGCATTTTTTCCGAAGTATCGCACTACAATTCCATTTCTTTGAAATTCCTTGTTAAATATGCATTTACTTAACCAGATCTTCGTAAATTTAGTTTCAGTTATCTTCGTAAATAACTGAAACTAAGGCACTTTTAGGTTTGTAGAAAGTGCTTTACGAAGGTATTCCTAAATTAAGACGAATAGACCTGATGTGCTTTGTTGTAATCTAAATAGTGCTTATGCTCCCGTTACATTTCCTTGGCGACATTTTTGCCGACAAGACGGTCCTAGTTGCCATTAGCATTTACTTAATTCTGTAAATATTTTTGGATACTTTGCAACGTTGTTACCCGCAGCAAATTTTTACACTTCTAATAAGCAATCGCATGTTTCGTGATCAGTAATGTGGCATGTGGAAAAACTTTCAACGGTTGCAAAAATAAGTGAATTCATGTAATCAAGCGCGGTAAAGAAGTTGATAACGAAATGGCGAGGAAAATGTCTTTTCGTCACCAAGAAAATGTAACAAGAGAAAAACGAAACGTTAACGGAGGGTTAATGATAAACTGTTTATTCACTACCTCTCTAGATTTTAAGATATTTTAGTTACTAAAATATATTAAAATGTTTGATTCTTAAATTTTGATGTGATTATTAGCTATAATTTTGAAGCAAAATAAGAATTTTTCTTTGGGGTTTGGAATCTTACTTTCTTTATTGGCTATTAAATCGACCAACTCTGTCTTATTAACCAGAGAGCAGATTTGTGCAAATTAAGATTTGACGTAAATATTTTAGGGTAGAAAATAATCGGATGCATTTTTTCATATTTTATTTTCAAAATTTTAAATACCCAAGCTGACTAATAACGTGACCTTTGTGAATATTCGGCTTCTCTGTGGACACTGTAAGAGAAGAATTCCTATGTTAGTTTGTGTGCTGTTCATTAACGTTGCACTGTGTTTTTTCATTATTCATGTATTTTTTATTACTAAATTTGAGTTAAGTAATTTAAGTAAAGCAGTTATGCTGTTTTGTTTTTAAGTTCACACTGGTAGTTAAGTTTATTTATTTCTTTAGAATTTGTTAATAAATGGAGCTATCGACTTCTTTGTAGAGCTAAAATGAGTTAAGTCTAACTTCATGCCTGCAAGATGTTGCGTTTCAATCTACAAATCGAATTACGTTATACGATATATACAGATATTCAAGTTTCCAAAAGATGCAATAAAACGGTATTTCTAGATAGAAAAAATTCCTAGTAAGCGTTGTATGTGAGAAATATTTTTTAAGATATTATTCGGTACGATTATTTATCAAAAGATGAAGGCATTGTTGTTTAATTTTGTAAACGACACCCTAAATTATAAACGATGCTTATCCATGCATTTTTTTTATTGTCCAAAATACTTGTCTTATAATCCGAGATCTCCGAGGATGATACAGAGGATAAGAGCCAATACGGATAAACATATTTTTAATCAATTTTTGAAAAAGGGCGAAATTGCATCTTTTGAGGATTTTACTTCTTCATTATGGAATAAGCTAAACATTTCAGATGATTCGGATTTAATTTGACATAAAAATCTGCTGGTGGAAATTATATTTTATTGCTCAGTTTTAATCTACAGCCTAAAGTTGGGAAATGTATCTAACTGGGAGTATATAAAAATATATTCAATGGAAAACTAAACTTACTTTATGGACTGAATTTGAAAACATTTATAGCTGTGTCAAAAGCTATAAATTACTATACGACTTACTATACAACTAGGAAGCATACGTTGAATAAAAATCATTTGAGAATCTTACTTGAGAAATAGAACATTTTATTTTGGAAGAAATTAAGATGTGTAATAAAGGTAAAATGGCTAGAAGGTATTAGTCTTTGGTTATTCGTTTTACATTATCCCACCAGCCACATAGCGGTAAAATAGCTGAACACTGGTAGTTCCGACCTGGGTTCGAATGAATCCGGGCGAAGGGGCTAGCTGCAAGGGCATTTTCGTGATTTTCGCCATGTATAACGTGTATATGAGCCAGTTTGTCTTAGAAAGTCCTCCGTGAAGGCATACCTCAGGCAAATACAGTGTGTTTTTCTATAATAAACTAAACCAAGTCAAATCAAATCGCTATAAATTAAGTAAGCTGCTTGTTATAGTTGCCTCTATGACAGTCAGCTAATCTGCCTTCCATGTATTGACCATTTCTGAAAAGTCCTAGGCCTGTTAAAGCTTGATATATCAATGAACAATGAAGCTAATTACAAGTATGTAAAAGGTAAAGTTAAAAATTTGCTGGGACATTAGCAATTCGTGAATTTATATATTGATGAGGTTCGAGTGAAAAACAAAAGGTGACATAGAAAGGTTTTAAAAAAAAATGACTTTCCTAAGAATCTTGAAAGTATTGAAGCATCATCTGTTCAGTCTTTTATTTCTTCTTTATTATCAGATTATAAAGATATCATTACATTAGTAATAATTCGCTTTCTGTAATGCAGCACAAAATTACGCTACATTTCTTTTTGTTAGATAATTACTGAAAGGAAAAAAAAGTACATTTATAAAAAAAAAAGTACAGTATACTTTTTAAATTATTAAAAAAAATTATTAAAAAAGTACAGTATACTTTTTAAAATTTGAAGTATTTTAGTTTTAAACCATGGATATATATTGATCGTTCATTCACTTATTCTTAAAATTAAAACAGCAGTAATTATTAATAAATAATTATATTGGGATAAGTTATAAAAATCGTTTTTATGTCTTTTTTTTTTTTATTTTTTTTTAATTTATTTTTATTTTTTTATATATTTGGTTATTTGTCGTTTTGTTGGTTAAATAGGGTTTATATTTTGTCGGTTAATTATTTATATTTTGGAATCCTTTCATTCGATTTTCCTTCAAATCTGCGAAAATAAACTGCAAAATTTGGGATCAGTGAAATCAACAGTAAATTTTGTAAATATATTTTTCGGAGTATTTATTAAAGAATTTTATTTTAGTATTTAGTGGAAATAAGAACAATCAACTCGTAAAGATTTATTTATGTTAATAAATAGCAATCTTTATTTATTTTAAAACTTTGCTTTTCAGCAAATCATAAAATGTTATTACAATGCAGCATAGCGTTGCCGTAGTGCGATCTAACGAAACTGGAGAATATTAAATTTCTTTCTTATCGGACGAAAAGGGATTGTCTTCTGCCGCTTTAAAGATATCAATCTAATCCAGCGTGAGAATTAAGGCTGCCATAAGGGAAGTATACAATAAAATTCCTATTGTGATTTTATTGCATTTTAATGTTTGGGCGATCATATGGCGCGGCATCGTGATTTTTAGGCGAAATGTGCTACAGTGTTAGGATAGTGGTATCATAACAGACTGTTTTAACGTCTCCTGTCAAGTGATTTATTAATGGTTATTGAACGCCATGTTAATTTTTTTTCCTTGATACTGGCGAAACATTTCTGTATGCTACACTTCACTGGTGAAAATCATTGCGAGAAAGATGACTGTCAAAATAGCTGGCATGCATATTCCTCAGAAGCTCAAATACAATGAACGCATATGGGATATTGCAGGGAAACGAATTTCAACTGGCAGTCCTCTACTAAAATGTAAGGAAGCTGTAACACATGATTTGTAAAAGAAATGGTGCGAGTTTCTCTTAGACTCCTAAATAAGTCGGTACCGAGTGTGCAATGTCGTTGTCTACTGTATCGCTGGTCAAAGGTGGACATATTTCTTTGAAATATCAAATTGCCTGATCACTGATATTTACTTTCCGGTCATCGTTCACTTGTATCCAACTCATGTGCAATAAGTTTTTAGTAAGTTTTCTGCAAAACTTTTTTAATGAATCTTGGTTTTACCATGTGTTAGGTATTACGATATATCTTGTTTTCATTCATGTATAGTTTTCTCGGTGCAGGCAAAAATGTCACTTGTCCTTAAGTTATGTTCATATGTAAAAGTCTAAAAGCTACTGAGTAGTATTGTCTTAGCATTTTAAATATCAATGCTCATAATTATAATTAATTGGAGCAAAAAGCTTTAATACTTTTGAAATAATTAGAGCTACATACTATTAACTAGTACGAAATTAGCTTGACATCAAAGCAAGCCAATAAACGTCTGCCCCATGTTGCAACTATTCCTTCAGTCTTCTTTATCTTCGAATTATGCTTTTAGTCACGTTCTATTAGCTTGCACATGTAATTTTATCATTCCTAAAGGTAGTAGGTGGAATAATAAACTGCGAAGATCCTTCATGCTCACTTAAGTATTTCAGTCTATTAAATATTTTTTTATTTAAGGAAACATACAAAACTCCTAGTGTTCCACGAAATATTCCATGAAAATTACAGTTGTAAGTAAATAACTCACAATACAAGGAATTCAACAATAAAAACATAAAATCTAGGCCTGGAGAGAGCAAAGAAAAAAAAATATATATACAAATAATAAAATATGCCATGAATAATTAAGCTGTTAATACTCCTATAAAAGAAAATAAACCAATCTAAAATAATGCAATAATAATAAAAATGAAATAATATTAATACAAAGAAAAATAGTACAACAGTACAAAACATCGGTGCATAACGCAATCGTACACAGACAATACACAAAATAATACAATGACACATAAAGGATAAAAATCCAATCATTATAACTAATACTAAATGTCCAAGGAACCAATAAAGTCGTGCAAGACTGCAAAGGCCTCGAAACTCCTAAGAAGATCACAGAAAACAGGAGGGCAGCAAATAGAGAACTACCCTAAACTCACTTTAAATGCCTTTCTGGCAGTCTCGTGCAATCTACAATGCAAGAAAATATGTTCCACATCTTCCACAACATCACCGCAAGCAGAGTTAACTGGTAACAATATTGAAACGAAGCAAGTTCCAAAATTCCCATGACTGGTCAAAATCTGAGTAAGTGCATAATCCGGTTGAAAATAATTACTAAAGTCGTTGAAGAACACTTGAGAAAAATCTTCGTCCTCTGCGCCTTCGAGGAAACAAGCTATTCAGCATTCCAATCAACCTCAGTTTTCTTCCAGGCCACATGTTTTCAATAAGACTTAGGGGCAGACAACATTAAGTAAATATCACGATAAGTCGCTTGCTTAGCCAATTGGTCAACCCGCGCATTACCGAGAATACCACTGTGGTCGCGAACGTAGGTAAAATGAATATCTGCAGTATATCCAATCGCATATAATATAACGAATTTCTACTCAGCCCTGGTTTTCAGTTGATATGATAGTATATTACGTAGAAGAGGGGGAAAGAGAGAGAAGATGAATCTGGTCAGATAAGATATTTAAACGTCTCATACTTCCGACAAGAGTTTTGTATCCATCTAACGGCAAGGTTTAAGCTCAGAAGCTCGACTTGAAAAACAAAACATACATCTGGTATCCTATATTAAACAGTTACATTCTCCCTGCCATCTTCTTAAGTAACAAATGCAAAGCCAACCCTTCCATTTAACTTACTACCATCTGTGAAACAAATATCTTCTTGGAAAACACTATCATAAGTAACAACTGTCAGAGCTTATCTTGAAGGGTGAGGTAAATCTGAAAAAGAAAGCGTCCCATTCAAGGGATCGCAATGGCTATCATTAGAAAGTCTGTCTCTAACATCCAAATCATTTAAAATCATTAAATCAATAGTTGGAAGGCCAGAATTAACCAATGCTTTTTCATAACTAAGTCATTAAATTATTGAACTAACTCTAGATCAAACATCGATCTTATCTTCAGTTGTAAAATTCGTAGAAGTTAAAAATTGTTGATATATTGTATGTCATAGTTATTAGTGTCGTATGTTATTCGTAAATATTCTTTTGATTGCAAAACTGAATAGTTCCATGTTTCCCTTACAGTATCTTTTTCGCTGGGGAAGACTCACTAGGGCTGATTGGCTTGAAGAGCAAGATCGTAGAAATCTACGAAGCAGAATTCAGAATCCAGATTCACCGCGTGAGACTGAAGGATTATTTCCTAGCAATACGGAAGGGAGAGATCAAGATCCAGATACATCGAGTCAGAGTGAAGGATCAGGTACTAGCAGTCCTCAAATCGGAGTTCAGAATCCAGGTTCATCGCATCAGACAAGAGGTTCATTCATTTCCAGATATCAAAATCCAGGTTCATCATTTGAGACTGCTGGGACTTTGGTATGATGAGAACAGCTAACAAAATTCAGAGCAAATGGATATTAAGTGAGAAGACTAAACGACGAACTGCATGAAACTGATTCTTTGTTAATATTGTGCATTTTAACTACAGTAATTCTCTAAATTGAAAATCTCTACTCTTCATGTACTTTTAGAGATCTGTATTGACAAAGTACTATTTATTTGCTTGCTTTGTGTGTGGGCTTTTGAATGTTACATTTTAACTCCTTTTAATAAAGTTGCAAATGTATTGAAAACCTCGGTTCAGATATTATCTAGAGGTATTGAACCTTCTTACTTGTATTTTATTTTTAACCTTGTTACTAGTATTTTTAAGACTTCTAACTCTACTCATTAATATAATAAAATTTGTAGTTTCCTCCACCGTACAAAACATTGTATCAGAATATTAATCATAAACTAGTTTGAACAAAAAATGATGAAGTAGACAAATACTGAAACGTTTCTATATTCGCTTCAAAGCAAGCTTCTATATTTGTAGGATAATCCAGAGTTTGCCTCCTTACTGTATGCTCCTTGGAAATCTTAGGAGTTTCTAACTTCTGTGATTTTATTTCCATATCCTTAATTAAATAAAATGTTGAGATCCAAAGAAGTCTGATTCAAAATTATTTTCCGGCAAGACTTGACATGGAGGATACCAAGGCCAAGGAAAGAATTATACAAAGGGGCAGCTGGTATTTGTGTTTGTAAATAAAATTCCAGAATTGTGTTTTCAGATGGGGCAGTATGAGTGAGGTAAAACAATACAGCATTTTATTGCGAATTTGTTTTGAAAATGTTGAAAAAGAATATTATTTTCAAAAGCGTTTACCTACGCAATAACAGGCACGGATTGCTTTACATAAGCTTTACATAGCCTTTGAAGTAAACTAAAGTCGCACGGGTTCATCTTCCTGAAAGATACCTCACCAAAAAAATAGGCTAAATCAATTACCTCCAGAAGAAATTCTGCATTTTAACATTTCGTGTAGAGAAGGACCGAAAGAGGGTGAACGTCTATGGCTGTTATAGACATTCTCCAGTTCCAATCTTTTTTTATACATTAAAGAAAGTGGACATCTGAAATAAAGTCCTTCAAAAAGCGTTAACATTATATTTAGGAGTCGTCAAAAAATGCAGTAATTTTTTATACACTACGGAATATTTTTTTATTTTCACATTTTAATTTCTGAATAATAAATAAAATTTTCCTTACCAGAACTTGCATGTGTGAACACTTTATGTGCATTGATCACAGAAATGGACATAATCCGATTCAATTCCAGTGTTTCAGTTATTTTTAAAGAAAACTGAAAAAATAGCCAATTATTTTGGTTATTAAATTTCTAACACAGAATGTATCCAGCAGCTTGATCCACCTTCTCGGCATAAATGCAATAAATCCTTAAATTTATCGCAACTGTTGCATCGTACTAAAAACTGGTTAAATTTTATGCATTACCATTTAAAACTTTGTGTGAGAAATGGTATTGTCAACCTGTGAAAATGGAAAGCAGATCAATAAATATTTAAAACTAATGATTCAGATGATCAACAGCAAACAAAGTCAATAAGTGCAATAAGAAACTCCCCATAAGAATTCCTTTCTAGAATGGTGGACTCCCTCTACTGTGCTTTTCTGTTCTTCAAATTATAAAAAGGTGACGAGTCTGAAAAAGCGCAGGTGAGTTTATTCATAAACATTATTTGACTCAACTGCTGTCTACCCCATAATATGTACTTTTCCAACATTGTCGTGATATTATGTAAATGAGTTAATGAAACACACCGATTCGCATGGTAAACTGTCTTGTACGTGAAGCCCTCTCGTCTCCACCGGATGGAGAGTAATTTGTACCGTGGCTGATGTTCCAACTGAAAAGAGAAGAAAGCGGTAACCAGAAGATATTGTAACTGATAGTCGAAGTGGAATTTTGTTCATGTCTGGAGAGGCTTATTTCAACTGCCTAGTACCAGTATTGGATTAACCTACAGTATTGGATTAGATAGGATTCTTGTTATTAAATGCTTCTGACGTTAGATAGTTGTTTCTAGTTATGTGATTCGGTCTCTACTATTGGATTCATTGTCAGTTTACGGTAGCATTTTTTGTACGTTATAAAGTACGGAATTTTATTCTTTTTCGTTCCGACTTTTCTCGATTTAGATATATTCATATATGTATACGGTAAAATTCCTCAAAACAAAAAGCTGTTTTGAAAAAAAGTTATTATATGCGTAAAATTTGCGTTTAATCCTATAACATTGTCTAATGTTCCTACCATTTTTGCATCAAGCAACAAGATAGGTTAGGTTATTCAAATTACGGCAAAGCCTCGAGGGCTATCTGCCTAAGGGGAGGGATGCCTTCGTGGAGGACTTTCTAAGGGAAACTGGCTCATATATACGTTACACATGAGGAAAACGACGAAAACACCCATGCAGCCAGCCCGTTCGCGGGATTCGAACCTCGGACCGAACTACCAGTGTTCAGCGACTTTACCGCTCGGCCACTGGTGGGCCGCAACAAGAAGATAAACAGTTCCTGCAGTAAAAATAAAAATAGCAACACTTACAATTATTTATTTATGATAAATGTTGCCAAATTTAGTTCAACAACTTGACTTTGTCTAAAAATAAGTAAATGCATGCATTGAAGAAGTTGAATAAAATCTACGATTGAATTTTTACAAAATTCTAGAATTTAAATTTTTGTGCTGAAAATACCAAGTTGTTTTTAAATATCCGTACCTCGATATAACGGTTCTTATATTAATTTGAGCAAATATTATGCTTCTTTTTAGATGCATTTAGCAGCTACGCAGCCAGCGTTCGTCTGGCTTTTAAATGTACCGAGAAAATGCCTGAAGGGTATACCAAACGTTAAATTTGAAAACTGCGCAGAATTTTGCTCTGCAGAACAACTTTATAAAAAAATCTGATGTGTACACGACATGACTTCCTTGTGCGGAATATTAAATTATACGCGTTTTTTCTTGCATTTCATTTAAACTTTTTAGATTGAATTAAACCTACTTCGCCGAACACCGCATAAACCACAATAGAATAAATGCATTCTTTAAAATTCACTTTGTTTACCATAGCGACACTCTGGCGCTAGGTTTCACTTAACAGTATTATATTTCGTTCATTATTAACTCAGAATGCACAAAATTGATATCATTTAAAGAATTATCTAATCGTTGCCACATGTTCTATTCAAATACTATAATAAAGCTAGAACGATGTATAAAAAAAAATTAAGCAAAACAAAACAAAAAAGAAAACAGTTTTCACAGACGATTGAGTATTTCTCATTCAATTAATTCAGTTCTTCACTTCGCGACAAGGCAAAAATACATAAAAACTCAAAATATCTATATTAAAAATTACGAAGTAAATCTTAAACGCTTATTTCCTCGAAAAAATTCCAGAAAGGATTAAGCATGATTTAATTGGCAATAATAAATGAAGGCGTTATCTTTGTTGTTGCGAAGCTAAGTTTCTCTAGATTGGCAACAAATCCGCTATCCTGCTGTTTCAAATGTAAACAAGAGCAATGGCCGCCATCAAAAACATTATTACGCTTAGCGGCACTAAACAATTTTAAAATTGTTGATAATTCTAAAAATATCGCATGCAGATTTACTAAAGGCATAAAAACCTTAACCGGAAGATAAGGACAACATAATTCAATCATTTTTGAAGCAAAAAAAAAAAAAAAATGTACAATTTACAAACATATAAGAGTAAAGAAACTGAGATCACTGAGCCGGGTAACAGAATGGATAAATATATAAATATATTTATATACGTTTGGTGCGGCCGATTGCAACCAAAATACGAGGTGCACATCTATATGTTATAGCAGTCCTATATACAAAATTTCAACGTTCTGAGGCTACTCGTTTTTGAGTTATGCGAGATACGTACGTACGTTCGTACAGGACGACACGAAACATTCTCTTCAGAATTAATTTTAAAGCAGTTTTATAATTTTTTTTCAGGAAAAAAGTGTTTTAATCTGCCCTTACGTACAGATGTAACAGAAATACATCGTTAAATTGCATTTGAAAGAGGTCAAAATGGAATATTTTCGTTGAAATATGCTGCCTGAATCTTTTCGCGATTACAATACGTCCTTTTTACTTCGTACAAGGAAGTAAAAAGGGATAAATTTTTAAAAAAGGTATTACATGTAATAAAATTACAATGAAATAAGCAATATCTCTTAATACAAATATTAATCATCCTAATAAATAAATTAACCAACTTCCTGTTTCCTTCTCTCAACAAGCGTCCAGTATCCAAGAGAAACGTTAAATTTAAAAACAGTACAGAATTATCGCCCTCATTTTTCCAATTGGCAACAGTACTGATTTTCAACAGTCAGCAGTCCAGTATACAACTGAATGAAAAACTGTTGCCAAAACCACATTTTTAAAAGAATAAAACTATTCAAAATGATGCGATAAAATTGAAGAGATAAAACTTTAAAAAATCTGATTCGAATTTTGAAAAAATCGCTTCAAGGTGCATTGGCTCTTGTATAGATGCACCTATATAACAAATTTCGTAGCCCTGGGTCAATTAGCTTAGGCGCAGCACGAACGAAAGACACAAAGACTCTTTCTTTTATTATATGTAGAGATTATTTGATCCCTAAATAATTTTTAGAAAACTAATTTTACTGTTGGCAATAATCTTGTTAATGTTTTTATAAAATGTTAAAACTGGAAGTTAAGTTTGTCTTTTCTGTATAGATAAAGCATGATAAAGTAGTGCATCAGCCCGAAAAATAAGTTTATATCGGCATCCGTCTTGTAAATTTTAACTCCTTAAAATATTTTGTTGGTGAGCCCAAAATAAAATTAAGAAAAGTGCTTGATAATTATATTCGTTTCATATTTTAAGTCTGTATTTTCAATATTCGACAGAACACGGAAGATTAGCCATTTTTGACTTGATTGTCCAAGTACAAGACATTTTAAAGAAATGGTATGATTAATTTGATTTTTAAATACGAATTCACGTAAAAGTAGTTAGACACTTTAATATTTCGAAAATAATGTTGAAAATTCTATTGCTTTAAATTAAAAATATGAAATTTTTTTAAACAGTTAATTTTTTCATTCTAAGTATTTTCTCCATACAGTATTTAGTTTCAAAACTAGTATTTTTGCTACTAAAGGGAAAATTATATTGCAAAAGGTCTTTGAAATTAGCTCACTACAAATCATCCGTTTTTTAACATTTACAGTGACTCACATTCGTTTTCAGACGCTTGTATGTTTCAAAATGTATTTATATATGTACTGAATATTGAAACGCAGATTCCGAATATCTTTTGATATATTTCTTGATTTTAAGCCTCGTTACAAAATAAATATTACCAATATATTTCTTGCAGTATTATATATAAAAAGCGTTAATGAATAACTCGCATAATTCGGAGGCTTGAATGCTTTGTTAATTTTTGGCAGATTTATTTTTTGTTGTCAATAGAAATGCTTCATAAGAATTATCGTCTGTAATTGAAAATTTTTACTTGTTTAACAAAATGTAAAATTAATTCCATATTTGAAGTCAACATGGCAAGACTCTACAAATTAAAGACATGTTCTGTAGAAATTTAATTATGCATCATTTTTGAAAATGGCAAAAATATCCGAAATATCGTTTAATGATAAAGGTAACGCTTGAATATGTTATAAAATGAGTGGCACTGAAGTCTGGACCGCATTTTAAGCTAACATCAAGGATTCGGAAATTGGTCCTACGAAAACTTAGACACGGTCCTAAAATTAGTAGTATGAAACTTGCAGTCTTTCTTGTACGAAGTAAAGGAATTTATTGTAATCACGAAAATCTTCGCGTATCATGTTTCAACGAAAATCGATTTTGACCAAACGAAAATCGATTAAATGCAATTTAATGATGTTTTCGTCGGACATCTCTACGTAATGACAGAATAAGTGACTGTTTTCCCAAATTGGATTAAAAAATTGATTTAAAATAGATTCAGAAGAGGGTTTTTTGTGACGTTTGTGCCTACGTACATATCTTGGCATAACTCAAAAACGAGTATCCGTAGAACACTGAAATTCTGTATATAGGACTGCTGTAACATGTAGTTGTGCACCTCGCTTTTTCGTTGCAATTGGCTGCACCAAAAGTGTGTATATATATATATATATATTATATATATATACCATTTTGTTACTGGTCTCGGTGAGATCAGTTTTTTATTATGTTAGTAAATTGAGCATTTTTTTTTGGCTTTAAAAATAGTTGAATTATGTTGTTCTTATCCTCTGGTTAAGGTTTTTATGCCTTTAGTTTATCCGCATGCAATAGTTGTAGTATTATCAACAATTTTAAAGCTGTTTAATTGCGTCTAGGCCTATTTTTTGTTTACCATATTAGGCACATTTCTTACATTGAAACTTGGCAGAATAGTGAATTCATTCAGTTTCTGCACCTTCAATATTTTTTTTTTTTTTTCGGCGTGGGACCAAAAGTAAACTTTTAGTTTTGCGCACCGAAAAATCTGCCTTCATGCCTACTGGCCCAGTTTCTTGTTTTTGCATAGAAACTCTACATTTAATTGTAAAAATTGTTCTTTAATTGTTTTAACAGTAATTGGTGTTTTTTTCTATATTTTTCAATTTTTAATGAAGATATTTTGAGTTTTTATGTATTTTTGCCTTGCCGTGAAGTGAGAAACGAATTAATTTAATGAGAAATTTAATGAAATTTGAGGAACTAAGTTTTAATGAAATACAGCAAAAATGCATATAATTTAATATTTCATACAAGGAAGTCATGTGGTGTCCGCATCAGACTTTTTTAAAGAAGGGTTGCAATAAAACTTAACCCTGAAATTGTTAAAAGTCATTAGGTTACCTGGAAACATTTGGCGATAAGACTAATTAAAATTTAATGTATTTGGAGACTTAAATCTGAAAAACCTAATCCCTATGTTAAACAGGGGGGGGGGGCAGGCGTAAGGATTTGAGGATATTTCGTCGCCTCTGGGTTGAGAAATTTAATTTTTATGGAAAAGAATTTAGATCAGTTTAATTGACGAAAATCTGAAAATAGCTGCAATAAAGAATTTGAATGTATTTTGCATCCAGTTATTCTAATGATTCTAAGCATACAGCTCTGAATATTCGCTTGTGATTACTATTTGTCTGAAGTTGTAAACGTACCTCCATATTTTTCGGACTTAAATCCTGTCGAACATATATGGATTGAATTGGAGAAAAGAATTAGATAACATATTTCTTCGGAACCTCTACTGAAAGAAGGTCTTACGGAGAAATAGAACATTCTTAGATGAAAATATTATTTGAATTTATGCCAAAGTACATGAAAATTGTACGTTTAGCTAAACGATGTCCAATGAAATAATAAATGTTCCGTTATTTTCATGTTTTTATTAAATATAAATTCCTCTTTCAAAGTTATGCAATTTCCTTTTTGGAACGTTTTGAATAAATTATTTTTAGCAAGTGTTTTGAATAACTTATCAAAACATGAAAGTTTTTAAAAAGTATATAAAAAAGTATATATTAAAAAGTATATATAAAAGGAAAATAATCATTTCGCTTAAATATTTATAAATTATATTTGCAAATAAAAGTTAAAAGCATAGTCGTCCAAAAACAAATGAGAGCCACTGTCAGTTTTTATCAGCATTTAAGATTGAAATAATTGATTGATCTAAATAAGTTTCCTTGAGTTTTCTTATAATTTCTTTCATTATCATTGCATCTTTAAGATCCCTCTCTATCATAATTCCGTAAACAATACTTAATTTGAGAACTAAAAAAAATGTTATGAAAGCTACTGAGTTGATTAAAAAAAAAGCATTTAGTAGATTTTTGGTGTACGTATTGGTCCAACCATCACAAAATTCAAAATGAAAGCATATTTGAGAAATTACTAGTTATCTGGTGAAATAAAATATGATTTAGTCATAAATAAGGAAAAAATCTTAGTATCTCAGACTTTCAGTCGAACATTACTAATCATACAGAAATCGTGTTCATGATGAAGTTATCAACATGGTAAATAATGTCTGATGACTATAACGCGTGTTAAAAAGAAATCCTTTATATTCACTATGACTTCAAGCTGACCATAAAGAAAAGTTCGAAAATAAAAAGTTTAATTCTTACATTGTGGCATACCGTTAACGAAATTTTTTTAACCTCTGTGAAAGATGTCGTCAATGTTTAATTACAAAGAATACTGCCATTGCGGATGAAAAACAATATTTGCCAATTAATTTCTAAAGTATAATAATTTTAGGTTAAGGCAAATATTTCTATAAATTTCATGAAATTTCATAGCAAAAAGAGGATATTCTTTTTCAGCCCTGTAAGAATTTTACTGAAGTATTTTCAATTATAAAAAATCCGTAATTTCGTAGAAATGAGTCAGTTCATAATAAATCACTTGTTTATAAGCTCACTTAAACAAAAACGAAATAAAACTTTTATCATTATAATGATTACACAAGACATTTTAAAATCACGAAATCAAAATTCATGGGAATCCTTAGCTATTTTTAGAGTTTAGAAGTAGATTAAAGAAATTGAAAATAGCTTCATTGTAAGAATTTCAAGCAATTTATTAAAATTTCACGTACCTCTTCATCTTCGAGAAAACAGATATATTTCTCTAATCGCTTATATAAAAAACATTTCAACTATTTTTTTAACCAATTTCAGGTTATCCGAAAGCACTTCAAATTTAAATAACTGAATAGTTGATCTAAATTTCTTTTCATTCAATTTCAAGTTAGCCATGGAATTTCGCTCCATTTCTCTTCATATTTTATATAAATATCGAAATTACTTTTTACTTCGTTACTTTTTAGGAAACATATTATACGTACTAGCCAACAATGTCAATAGGAAGTATGAAATTTTGAGTAATTCAAGAACCAAAATCAGAAGTTTTAAACACTTACACATATATAAGTATTTAAAACTTCTGATTTTGGTTGATAAATGATATATAATAAGATAAGTATGGTTCCAGATTGTTTAAAAGAAAATCAGTAATCAGGAAAATTAAGGTATTCAGAAAGTGAGAAGAAATTATGAACAGGATTCAGGAAAACTGAACTGTAAAATGAGCTACCTGAAATTTAACATTCTGCAGATGAATCAAATGAGAAAGTTTCATGAAAATCAGTAATCAGGAAAATTAAGGTATTCAGAAAGTGAGAAGAAATTATGAACAGTATTCAGGAAAACTGAACTGTAAAATGAGCTACCTGAAATTTAACATTCTGCAGATGAATCAAATGAGAAAGTTTCATGAATGAGACTCTAATGTTAGAGAAACTATTTTTTTAAAAATTTAACAGAATATCTGCCTGCCGAAGAAGATGAATTCCCTCATATAGGACAGAAACGGACTCATATTTGTGTTACCATACGAGAAAACATCCATGCAGCCAGTTCATTAGCTGGAATTCTTACCGTGCCAAACTACCTGCATCCCTGGTCTTGAACACTCGGACAATATTTGGTCCTAAGCAAAAATCTCTCCATAATTTAATTGTCCTGAAATTTCATAACATCACATCAATATCAAGATACAAGTCCTATCAAATATATTTGTACACAATTAGAGTATAAAGTCTAACAAAAAAACACTTCTTTAAACAATAGTTGAAAATTGTAATTCAAAATGAGTGCGTTAAAAAATAAATGTAAATTTTAAAAAGTTAAATACAAGCTTAACAGATTAAAGTGCGTTTTAAAAATAATAATTCCGAAACCTGTAGAACAATTTTAAAAAATAATTCTTAAATTTATATTTGATTGGGTATTAAGTACGTTATTACTTCTGACAGTGTTATTTTACATATTTATAACTATTTATTTTAAATTTATAGTTCATCGGTGGTTATATTATCAGTGGTACCTAAAATTTAAGTATTCAGACACAAAAACGATTATTTTTTTCTGATATAGCAGTTTAATATGTTTATTTTCATGAAAGGCAATAGCATGGGATTAGTTTTATTAGATACATGCATATTGCATATTGCACACATGCATATTGTAGGTTACATTACTTTTACAGCGACGTCTAAATCCAGACTCCAAATCTCAAAGCAGATGCGAGATGGTGATCATTATCCTAACTTTCATTCTCTGCTTTGTGTTCTTTTTCATTTCAATTCTCGCCAGCTCAGCGAAAATGATTTCTCAGATATGGTGGCCTATTGCAGTTTTCTGTGGCATCTCGTCCTTAGCAATTTGTTCTGTCTGTGTAACTTTTGTAAGTAGACTTTTAATCAAGTTATGTGTTTAATAATTTCATTATTAGAATTTTAACATATGATAATCATTACAATAATAATGCCACAGGTTATACAAAAAATATGAATATTTTATGTATATTTTTTGTATAGCCTATGACAACAACAATTTTTGAACGACGATTTTTGAAATATAGACATGCTATTCGAGGTATTGAGGTTCTGTTCAGTTCAGCTAATAAAATTAATTCTACAATAAAAAGAGGCCAACCAGTAGCCGATCGGATAAGACCACTAACACTGGTAGCTCAGCCTGGGTCAAAACCCCAAATAAAAAGTTGCTGCATAGCATTTTCGTGTTTCTTCATGTCTGTTAAAGTGAATAAGAACCAGTTTCCCTTAGAAAACATCTTCTCTCCCTTTAGGCAAATATCCCTAATGTACTTTGCCGTAATGTAATAAATTAAAATCCTTAATAAAATGATAAAGAAGATACAGATGCCATTCCAAAACCTCAAATCCGCCAAATAGTAAAATGCTTCTCGATTTGATACGGATTTGGTTGTAAGTAAGCTCTAGTTTTATCTTTTACATAATGTTAATAAGAGACAGAGTTTGCTCTGCTGTCTGTGTGTTTCATTAGGCAGAAACAGAAAGGCTCAAAGCTACGGAATTTGGCCTGCAGCTAAGTAGTGTTAGATCTGATTGAATTATTAAGTTTTAGTCACAACAAACAAGGGCCTTTAAACTAAGGATAAAGACACCTCCATAGAAGAATTTTTAAGAGAAATTTACCCCTATTCATGTTACTCCTGGGGGAAAAAAACACAGAAACTGCTATGCAGTCTCCCATTCTCTGAGAACTGAATCCAGGTTGAGCTGCCAATGTTGAAGAGTCTTACTGCTTGTGGTCGTAAATTAAAAGTAAAAAGCATAGCATAAGAGTAATATTAGATAGCTCCAAGAAGCCTTACCATAGTATTTTAAAGAGATTTCCACCATTTCCTACCTTTCTCATAAATTAAATAAATTATTCCTCAGACCTTAGTCTTGCCAGTAGTATGAAACAACTGACTCATGGCCATTTCAGCCAATGCTGCTGATATGGTGACTTTTCATTCGGTGAACGATTAGCCGAAAGAGAAAATTGTATACTTTTAACCGAAACTTCTCCTCCCCCACATATATAGAGAGGGTGCAAGTAAATACATACATAGGGTGCATACATAGGGTGCAAGTAAATAAATTCTTACCATTTAAGTCAAGGCCTCGCAACTTTGTCCCTTTATTCTGACGTTAACTTTTTCTTCAGACCGATGTCTTCAACTGGCTTACATTTGCCAACCATTCTCCAAAATTAACATATTATTTAATTTTACTAACTGCTACAGAACAGAATACTTACGTTTTCTTCGTCTGAACGTATTTTAAATGAAATTACTCAGCATACAATACAATTTATATAGATTTCGTCATGCTTAAAAACCAAATAAAGTTGAATTGGAAAGTCTAAAAATGTTATTCTTTGTAACACTGATTTAAAAAAAAAAACAGACACATTAACTTAAAATAAAATTTAGGGACATATAAATAACTCCCTTCCTTAATAAGTATTAATAGTAATTAGTTCTTTCAATTAGCCTGATATTTTTATCTTTGACATAATATTTGCAAAAAACAGTAAGACAACGTTAAAGCTTTAAATTTTTTCCTAGGAAGATGGTGCTTTCATTAAATTAAATTTTATATCAGAAATTATTAAAATCATTTCACTGCTATGTGTTATGACTTCTAATTATTATTTAAAAGTAAAGCGAAGCAACAAACCTAACATGTATGGCAAATGGCTGCATTCTGATTTTTTAGTTCAAATTACATGTTTGATATTTCAGCGTTAGATACAGAAAATACAATCAGCATTAATAAATAGTTAAAGCTTTCTAATAACATTGAAAACAGTTTTTAAGAAAATATTTCTCAAATTGACCTACAGCATAAGAGAGAATTTGGAAGATAGATTCAAACTCATTTTTCACGTAAAAAGATGTATAAAATGTTAATTTAAAAAAAAAAAAATATTATTTATGCAAAGCATTCCAATGAAATGACAAAATCACTTAAAAGACTGAGTATTTAATAAAAATATATTTCTAAAGTATAAGATTTACATATCTTTCTACACATTTTTGCAAGAACAATGATTCCAAAATTGTATTTCAGCTTATTAAAATTTTCATCATTTCAGAAAATGCGAAGCTCCTGAATCAGTTGACTGTATAGCCGTTGTCTTACTTTTCTCCAGATTTAACGTAAATGAATAATGATTTAAAGCCAGTTCTCCTTAAAGGTCTTCCACTAAGGCATGCTCCCTTTCGGCAGATAGTGCTTTGCCAAAAGCTATTAAACAAACTGAAAATGCGAGGCACTGGTAAGTCTCGATCATAATTTGTTGCGATATGGTCGAAGATTTTATAATTCATCAAAATTTGATAAAGCGAACTCGCTTTGAAATAAGCAGTTGTTTTAGTTATGAAACATACAATTAAAATTTAGTGAAAATATCTTCGCGCTAACAAGCTGCGGAATTTGGCCTGCAGCTAAGTAGTGTTAGATCTGATTGAGTTATTTAGTTTTAGTCACAACAAACAAGGACTTTCAAACTAAGGATAAAGACACCTCCATAGAAGAATTTTTAAGAGAAATTTACTCCTATTCATGTTACTCCTGGGGGAAAAAACACAGAAATTGCTATGCTTGTTTATATAGATCACTAACGTTATCTTTTTAATAATATTACTAGGTGTACAATAATTTCAAAATGATTAAAAAATTTTATTTTAATCATTTGAAATTTCAAAATAATTTAATAATAATGAAATTTCAAAATGATTTCGTACAGCTCGTAAAATTGTCGATAGATTTGAAAAAATGTGAAAAATTAAACGATATTTTTATGCAAAACCGAGCTAAGCTGATAGCATTTCGAACATATTTTCAGTCATAAACGATACGGTTTTTTGCAAACCGTGCTACCATTTCAAGCATATTTTCAGCAATTTCTCTTCATCTTGCGCTTTCCATCTTCCCTTGCCTTTATTCTTTCCCTAAAATTGCGTGTGGATTGAGAGCAGAGAAAAATCTGCGGTTCTACTTTTCAAAACGAACAACATTCTTTACTTGAGTTTAAAAACTATTTTTGTTATTCTAAAGATTCTAACATCGTTTTCCGGATTTTCTTTATTCTTTTTAAAATCAGTTGTCAATTATAAAATCATAAACAGATAAAAACGGAAATTCATTATAAATACTCTATTTTCCAGCCGAATAAAATATGTTAAGTGCCGAGTAGAAAAGTTTAAAATTTTTTGGAGTGTAACTCTCCGGCAGAATAGCAGCAATATGAATGATTTATTTTTGTTTATAACCAGTAACATAAGTTCAGAATCTATGAAATTTTTGTCAGTTTATTTGAAATGTTTCTGTTTAACCACAAACACTATTCTGCTTTTAATATGATACAATTTTCAAGTTGCGGGTCTGCTGAGGTGAAAGAACTATCCAAAATAGGTATCTTGAGCTACATTAAGAACATTGATAAACATAGGATAGATATGCGCTCCTTCCCTCCTTGGAAAATTACTTCTCTACTGGGCAAATTATTGGCAAAAGCAGCGCAAATCTGCTAGTGGGCTCCAGATTACAGACAAAAAATTGCAAAATTATGAATTTCTCATACTGTTCATCGAATGGACTGACAAGATACCATAGTTAAATTTTCAACAAAAATTTCAGTGTGAAATACCTTGTCTTTTAATCTCCTTTTCTTGTCCAATCCCCCTTTTTTCACCTTTAATAATACATATTGTGGTGCAATAATTTTTAAACGATTAATTCTTGAAGCAAAGGAATTATGCTTTTTTTCGTGTACATATGCGCGTTCGATTTTAGGAGTCCGCTTTTGATCTTCTTGCTCAATATTTTAGACACTAAGTTGTATACAGTTTCAATAAAAGAATTTGGAATTCAGCAAACTACTCAAAACCTTCCATAATGTAGATGGGTATGTATATACTATATTGAACAAATTCTTAGGGAAGAATGATAATAAAGATTTGCGTAATGTTGTGAATTTACATTGGTCAAACTAAGAGAGCCTTAAAATTTCGCGTTTAAGAATATGGGGCATATGTTAGGAAAAAAGAAGCACAGAAATCCTCCTTTGTCCAACGCTGTTGGTCAGAAAATTACATTTTCCATTTTTCTGCAGCCAAAGTTATTTTTAAAAAAATCTTCCATTAGTGAATTAGATTTTCTAGAAGCGTTTCACTTTCAAAATAAATATAGCTAAATAACCTAATTCCAATCCATGTTATCCACAGGCTTTAAGGAAATTACATTTTAGTTTTCTTGTTTCATCAATAGACGGGGTCAGTAGCTTGACTTCTTTCCAGGAATTCTTATCTTATCACCATATTCTATCTTGCTCATTTGCATTTGGGCAGTTAAATAAGTTCGTTCTGTATTTAAACCATCGAAACTAGTCTGCAAAATTTACATTCGGCGTGTTATTTTAACCTCAATTTTATTCATTTATTAAAGTAATTCGAACTAATTTGTATCAAAGGAAAAGGTCTACAAATCAGACGTTTCCTATCGAAAATATATCTACAACATTTAAGTTGAAAAATTCCATTAATAACCCATGTAATTGAATCTGGTCTAAAATCTTAAAAATATATGAGATAATTTAAATAACTTAAAAATACATGGGATATGATTTTACGTTAATATGTGCTGTGTTTTTCTATCTGAAAGCATAGAGTTAGATAGCCTATAGTTATATGCAATAAACGTCTATTGCATAGTTTACTGGCATCTTTAAAAGAAAAGACGTGTTATAATAGTTGGCTATCAGGATGGCCGAAAATGTTTTACTCAAATGTTTCAAAGAGATAAAATCTAATTCAAAAAGAAAAGTTTCTGAAAATACTCAATATTTTTTCAAATAATATAAATTAAAATAGTAAAACCTAGAAATCTTTTACAATATGTGACTATAAAAACCATTGAAATATTTGTGACAGACGCATTAAAATTCAACTTAGAGATGAAAATCTATATATATATGTCAGCAAAAACATTTCAATGTTTGCCGTAAAATCTAGACTATACTTACGAATACAAAATAATAAATATGCGTGCCTGGTCGTGAATGTTTCAAGAAAGCTTAACTGAATTAAATTCGAATGAAAAGTTAAGGTTATATTTTAGATCTAAATGTAAAAGCAATTAAAAAGGATGAAATAGTCATACGTTAGAGCTAAAAATAAATTTCAGTTTTAGAAGTCAAAACACAATTCAGCGTTATATTTGCAGATTTTCACTAGTTTAGCACTAGTTTTGATACTTTTACCTAACCATCATCCTCAGCTGGCAAAGTACAAATTTGTACTTTGCCAGCTGAGGATGATGGTTAGGTAAAAGTATCAAAACTAGTGCTAAACTAGTGAAAATCTGCAAATATAACGCTGAATTGTGTTGTTTGACTTCTAAAACTGAAATTTATTTTTAGCTCTAACGTATGACTATTTTCATCCTTTTTAATTGCTTTTACATTTAGATCTAAAATATAACCTTAACTTTTCATTCGAATTTAATTCAGTTAAAGTGCAAATTTGTATTTTGCCAGCCTGAGGTCCTCGTTCATTTGCACTCTATTTTTTTGTTCATGAAAGCTGATTGTTAATTGACTTCTAAACTGATACTTTTTCCGCGTGTTACTTTAACCTAAATTAAAAATAAATTGTTAAAATAAAATTGTGAAGAGACAAATTGCTGAACAATCGATAGTAATACCATTAACAAGTCGTAATACCATTAACGACTAGTAATTCACCCGTGTTTGTTGCTGAAAAATCTGATCTCCGGAATTTTTTTTTTTTTATTGCAGAGGGTGATTTATATAAGTAACTCTTTAAAGTTCTCCACAAAAATAGACGTAGCCATAATTATTTAGTACAAGAAAACGTAGTAAGCGAAAAAAGCACAGTGAATGTCCTGGAAGTATAAAAATAATGGTATAAGTGATAAAAATTGAACTAAAATAACGAATTAAGATGTACTATCTATTAGAAGTAATAAGATAATTGTGGCATGAGTAGAAGAAGCAGTGCATATGGCTGGGATGAAAGGTGAGAATTCATACTAAAGTACAAAACGCGAAAATATGCCAAATCTATTTTACGGCTAATCGGCGCTCAAAACTAAACATGAACATGATGCTAGAAAACACCGAAGCCTTTGTAAAATATAGGAGTAATAAATGCCAGCATTGAAACCCAAACGATATTAAACTGTATCTTTAAAGCTGTGGAAGAAAACATTTGTGTAAAATTAATTCAAATAATATATACCATCCAACCAACCAATCTACCTACCTTAAATATTTACCCTATTTTTTTCCCTTTCCATGATTACATATGGAATATATAACAGGTAAAATAACAATTATAAGAAAATATCTGAATATACGCAAGAAATTATAAACTTTGAAAATGTAAAGTGAAATTCGTAGCAGTCTCTAAAAAAGAAGTAAAATGCTATAATTAATAAAGGTGGACTACGTGGACTAATATAAATAAAAAATTGTACAATAAGTAAATTAAAACAGAACTATAAAATATAGTCTACACCTAAAATTAAGTAAAATAAAGATTTGAGTGTAAAATTGTAATGTTTAACTAATAAGGTAAATTCAGAGCATGCTGAAGATTACAAAGATTAAAAATGCATGGAGAAGATAAAAAATTTATAACTAATTATTAAATAAAGACCATGCGAATGAACAATGAAAGTTGGAAATAAGAACGCAAAGGGAATTATTAAATAAGGAGTAGAAGTAAATGAGAATTAACAATTGTAGAATAAGCAATTCGGAATACGATGAAAAAAATACTGACGTTCAAATTCCCAAAAATTATTTAAAATAATTAGAGAAATTCCATATTACACCTCCAGCCAATGACCAGGCTGTTTCACACTACTCTTATATTAAGTTGTTACTATTTAAATCTTTGAGGAAGCATGCAAACGAAACAGAAGAGCAAATGCACTATATATATATTTATAGAGTATTATTTTTCGTCATGAAATCTTGAATGTGTGCTACATTTTGCGATTTATGACAGCAGAATGCATACGGAACTTCTTTTAATACTTTGAATGGCTTAGCGTTAGTTTTCTCCAAAACATTGTGGACTTGTCGCGTCATCTAAATACTGACTAGTTACGAAAGATCTTAGTTGATAATTTGGGTAGATGTTCAAAAGTATACAATACAGTTAACAAATTATTCTAAAACTTAACAGCTTTATTATAATCATGTTGAATCTTCTTCCAAATACCTTTAGGATCTTTAGTAATTAGTCAACAATTAGTCGCGTTTACACTCGTGACGTGGTCTGTCAAGAATTTTTTATTCGGGTGACATAAAAACCAAAGTGTTAAACGTGTACACTATTTTTTCCCCAAGCTTGTTCTGTATGTACCCCTGCCAGCAGCCGAATGATTAAATAAAATTTTCAGACACTAGTAGTTTTTCTAGATTCTATTCCTAGTGGAAAGAATGGCTGCTTAAACTTTATACGTTCAATAAAAAAGTAGGAAACTCTGTATAATAGCAGCTTAGTAATGTGTTTTATTTTCTTGTGAACTTACTCATAATTGATATATTAGTCACAGTTAAATATGCAGGAAAACAAAAATTAGTGCTTCTGATTTAACTTAAACGTTTCTTAGAATCTCGCATATAAATTTTTTAACTTTTAAAGAGCAAATATTACTTTAAAATATTATATACCTGAAGTAAGCGCTGGAAGTAATGAATCGAAACACGACTTAATGTTGGAAGTAATAAAACAAACGCATGAAACCTAAAAGCTATTTAGACACAAATGAAAATTTGTCACAGGCAGAGAATTTACTTATCAATGATAACTAATCTTAACTCGATCTTCTGTATTTATAACCGTGTATAATTTTTCTTTCTTTAATTTTTAATTTTCTAAAAATCATGAATTATTATTCTGATGTATGTTAAAGTATTCTGCCCAAACTTTGATTTTTAATATGTCTTTATAGTCAATGATTTATCGTCAAGATGATCTCCTACATGACGACTTTACAGAGGTTTCAGTGCAAAGAATTGTATCAAAATTTTCTCGAGGCAAGGAAAGAAATGTGCAGAACAATGAAGGATTAGATTTCGGAGACAACAGTTGCACTGAAGTCTCCGGACGAACTATGACTGTCAGTGACAGAGGTGATACGGCCATGTTGGAAGATCTTCGAAACAAAATCAAGAATGAAATATTTCCATCTTCGTCTTCACAAGGGGCTGGAATATTTTATGTGAAAGGCAGCGAAATTCAATCTATAGAGCTCCAAGAGTTGTAAAGATAATATTTTGATATTCCTAGTTTGAAAGCTAAAACTCTTAAAAACGTAGTAAAGATAAAAGTGTTTTATACAGTTTCAGACTTTCGGCCACTGTTATGCAACACATGAATTCTTTTTTTGTTAAACGCCAATAAAACTAATCTTTCAAAATTTTGAGTCAATATTTGTGACTGCTTTTTCTGGATTCGAGCAGGTGAAGATTCGAAATTTTGAATCGAGTCTTTCGAGGGATTCAAAAATTTGAATGCTGCATCCCTAAAACAATTAATATGAATTTGATTAACTTATTTTCAAAAGTGATAAATTTCTTTTTTCACATGGATTAAGGATTAAAGATTCTGTAAGAAAAAAAAATTGAAGACGATGTTATTTAGAATATATATAACGCCAAAATAAATTTTGGACTCAAATGGAAAAATTAAAACGTGTTTCTTAAATAGCACAATATTAAATATTAAATTCTTCAATAAAATCCCCTCCAGGCATTTCTTCTCTCTTCCCTTCTAAAAGTTTCTCCAAACTTTAAAACGAATCGAAAGAAAAGAATCCATAAGGAAGGAAAGAATTCATTAAAATTCGCATGTAAAATGTCAATATTTCTAGTTCGATGACTCAATGCACAGAACTTGTAGATTCTTAATCAAAAAGGAGCGGCCGACCTCCAAAGAAAAATACGCCACTCAGAGAAAGCCTAGAATTCTTAATAAGCACATGTGCCCAATGGATAACATTATACTAGGCGAAAATAATTCCGGTTCAACAAGAAACATAATGAAAGAAACGCCACAGCAAATGGATGTTTCCTTTGGTTCAAGAGTATTATCACTCACTTTCCTTATTTTCATGCACATGCACCTGATACACATGATTTCTTTACTAAGTGATGGCCAAACTACGAGTCTAAATCCTTTCAAAGACTGCGAATATTTACGAAAGTGTCTCTGAATTTTTCTTTTAATAATGTTTGTATTTAATATCAAAATATCCTTCTCAATACTTAACAACTACATGAAATTTTTGACATATTTGACTTTTCAAAAAAGACATTATCAATGCACATAACTCCAAAGTACAAAAGTTGTCCTGTATGGTAATGAAGGTAATAAGTACGGTTCATAGGAAAATGTTTATTGTACATATGATTTTTTTACACTTTATAAGTCAGAATTGCATACTGTGATGTAGAATGATGAACTCGTCATAACATTTCGTACTAATGTTAGTAAGTAATTCCCGATTTCAGAGCTTCCAGCTTGATTTCAGGCCTTCGTAATCGAAAATATTAAATTACATAAATAAAAAAAGCCTGAAAGCGATTTTACTTTCTGTGTGCCAATTAAAAGATGGAATTTTTATTAACAGCCTCTCGAATCTCCGTCAAACAGTTTTGATATTCGTGTTACATCATAAAAAATTTTAAAACTTTACAATTTTGGAAATCCAAAAGAAGAGATTTATTTAATTTCATTAGATAAAAAATTAAAATAATAATTATTAAAATAAAATAAAATTGAACTTTTTTAAAAGTGCATGCATTTATGACTATTGCACTAACCCCTAATTTTTTATTTCTTCAGGATCCCTTTTTTGCTCTTTTAAATTATATATTTATAAACACAAATTAATTTTACAAAAAATATATCTTAAATATAATTTTTAGATAAATTATTAAATTAAGCTGTTACCAAAGTTTCTTAATTGAAAAAAAAAAGGCCTATATTCGAAATCGCCCTTATCATTTTGAAGGAAATATATATCTTTTGTGAATTTTTATAGCTGTGTATATCAAGAAAATAAATAAATGTTAGCAGCCCGACAGACGTCTTGTACTATGACAGACGTCATGTCCGAGACTACAGACGTCTTGTACGATGATAGACGTCATGTCCGAGACTACAGACGTCTTGTACGATGATAGACGTCATGTCCGAGACTACAGACGTCTTGTACGCATCACTGACCTGTAGACTACGCAGTCGCATCATGTTTCTTGGGTTAAGAAAATGGGTGTATTGGAAAGCCCAATTATCCACATGTAAACCGCTCAGACGGTATAGTGGTATAGTATCCACATGTAAACCGCCAGACGGTATAGGACCCACATGAGTGAGGGTCTTTGCGAAGCAGGCATGTGGCTTAGAATGTCTCTAATGCTGCTGACGATAGGGCTGCGAGAACGAATTCCAGCTATCGCAGCGAGGTTTGAGGCTGAGTCTGTGTAGATGATATTGGGCACTGTGGAATTATTCTTCAGGTGGAGAAGAGCTGCTATGATTGCTATGAGCTCCGCCTGAAAGACAGAGTTTTCAGAAGCGAGCTTTCTTTTCCACTCATACGTTAAAGCTCCTCCAGAAGGTATACAGAATCCGCTTCCCTACCCCCTGGAGTTTTACAGCCATCAGTAAAAACACCATTTGCAAATCCCGAGTTCTGTGTTCTATTAAAGTGGATAGTGTCCACAAGGTTAATTTTAGCAGGGTGGCAGGGAGCTTGCGGTATGTAATGCTCATAATCAGTATAGATATAGATTTGTCCCCAGAGACTCATGGTATGTCGTAGCCTGCTTACGTTAACCACTGCAGCCTCTCGTTCAATTAACAGGTCCAGAGGCGGCGTGCATGCGATAATTTGTAAGGCTGCCGTGGACGTGGTACGATAAGAAGCTTGCAAATGAGAAGCTGGTGTCGCTGTATAGAGAGTAGTGAACGTCTCATTTGGGAAGAGATGTTAGTTCCCCAAATAGCAGCAGCATACAGAATAATTCTTTCCACCACTGTCTCGTACCATATTCTAAGCAAGTGACATGGCATACTGGCATACCCCATCTTAACGAGGTTGTTGATCGCATGGAAGTAGTCGGTCTATTGAGTCTTAACTTTAAAGAAGAGATGTGTGGTTGCTAGGAAAGTCTATTATCTATTACTACTACTAGGTACTTAAGTTGTTTAACACATTTAATAGAGGACCCCAAGAGTTTAAGACAGGGGTTTCTACGTAATGGAGAGCCTCGACTAATTATGAGGGCTTGTGTTTTAGGCACCGAGAGTTTCAGTTTATGCTCTCTCACCCAGTCAGCAATAAATTAAGGCTATCCTGAGTTCGCGTTTCAAGGTCGCTTGGGCCTGCTACAATGAGTAAAAAGTCGTCTGCGTATGCTAAAAGCCTTACTCCTTCTTTGTTTTCAAAGACTGAAAAAACTGAGTTAGCAACAATGTTCCAAAGAACGGGTCCAAGACAGGAACCTTGCGGACATCCCCTCTTAAGACAGTGGTTAGGGGAGCCTGACTGCGATACCGAAGGGCCCAGGTTCGAATCCAGTGAAGGCATGGATGTAAAATTGTCTGTCTCTTCATAGGAGGTAACAGTGGCCGCCTATTAGGTGCCTCCACAATAAAATGGCCACCACTTCTGGCCTTAGGAGTGGCCAATGCCGTTATAGGCAAGTGCCCGCCATTTGAAAAAAAATAATCCACGCGTAGACTTCGACGAAGTGAGCCATTTTACAAATTATCAACAAAGCGCCCATTGTTTCAATTTCACTTTGATACCAGAGAACATTATTCAGCGCTTACATGGTGCATTTAACGACGCACCACGGATACATCAATGGCAAGTCGTTATCTTTTCTGATGAACCCCACTTTTGCTTGTATTGTTATTACACCCTATCCGTTTGGGGAAACACAGAAGGGAATAGGAAGCTTGCATTTTTCACCGGAATACTCTTCCCAATACCTAGATTAATAATATGGGATGCCATTTGTATACATCCGTTGAACTCTATCTCGCATATCCGCTAGTACATTAGTAAGATTTCAAGATTAGTAAGGTGCCCGTAGCTGTACCTTACCTTCAGATTCTTCCTTGTCCTACCTTCCAACAAGGCAATGAGAGACTTTATGCTTCAGACGATGTCTTAGATTTCCTCAATAGATAGAGTATTTGTCTCCTACTTAAGCCAGCACATTCTCCAGATCTCTCAGAAACTGAAAATTTCTGGTTGATCGCTACAGGAAGCCTGGAACGGCAATGTCCGTCAGCTATAATGACAAAGAAATTCTCGCATAGAGCTAAATCTGCATGGATTGCAATATCCCAAAATGTCACTTTATTCTACTTCATACTTCTTTCTCAACAGCTGCTGTTGTTGCCAGAAACGCATGCTCGTCCTACAGATTTTTGCATGTTCTATTCCACAAAATTACAGGAAAATGTATTCGTTTCATCCGTCCTTTGCAATGTAGCTGTGAAATAAATATGATTTTGTTGCTTTCCTTCATGATGTGGTTTTAATTGGCAACAGTGTTTGTTAGCATCATATATAACCACCTCATGTCAGTCCATGAAGAAATTCGTTTAAAACAAACTCATTTATACAAGCAAAATTTAAAACACTCACAACTCATGCAAATTAAAAATACTATCCTTCAGAATTTTCTGGGAAATGTTCTAAGACTTTTTTTTTGCACGGGATCAAGCACGCTATAGCATAAGTGTAATCGGTTCCTAAGATAATAACTTCTGTTAGAGAAAATTGCGAAAGATAAGCGGTCCGAAAACATTTGTGATACTATATACGCAATCATTGCGATAGTTTCTAAACTACACAGGGATGTTTGCATTGTATCTCTAGATCATTAAAATTCCACATGTGGCCAGATATCTCATATTGCAGCTTGACTTTAAACGCCAGGAGTGATGGCTCTTCGCCATTACACAGTGATATCCGTTAATAATGCCTAAGAAGGCTGAAAAGTTTTGGCCAGATATTCTCCGTGCATAAATTTTCCCATGATCTGAACTGAGTGAAAACTGAGTCATAACTGAATACAATACAGCCCTATTTTGATGTTCCCACGTTTCACGATGTGATATCGTTTTACGTTGTGCTCTTTATAATGAGCAATGCGAGATTTCTCAACAAGCGCCTAATTTGGATACCGGGCTTAGGGTTTTTTTTTTTTTTTTTTTTTTTTTTTCGGGAGGGAGGTGTAATTGTATGAAACGAAATGTCTAGAAAGTAAGGATCGTCCATTTTGAAAGCAACAACAACCAACCACTCGGTTTGGCGATGGGCGTTCTGTGATTCTTAAATGAAATGCCATATAAAGGTATGAATTGTTTGGATTTAAATTAGCAAT